CGGTATTTTTGAGCTAATTTGATAATTTTGGCATGGGCTTTATTCCTTTAGCATGTATTAATGATGTGATACCGATTTTGATTAGATTCAGAGCATTTGGAGGCCGAGTCAAGAGGCAAGGGCATCGCGGGCTAGAGTTTTATCCAGGTTTAGATAAGTAATGACGGTAAATCTTATCCTGAGGGTATGAAACCCCAGATTTCTCATTGTTTTGCTACTTTAAGGTGTCGCGCACGTTAGATGACGAGCATGCCATTGGGTATTGTGACTTGGTCCGTCCCGTACGACTATTAGTCGCATATTTGACTTAAAACTATTTGTTAATTATGTGTTTTGGAAAGAACTACTATAACTTGGGTTGAATGCCATATCTGGGCCTTGTGCCAAGATGTTTGGACCCTTAGGGGATTTTTACTACCGTTCCTCACTGTTTTGATTTAATATCTATACTCAGTGATGCTATATTTTACTGATTTCATAATTCAACCTCATTTACTCCGTTTTGATACTATGTGTCACGACCCAAAAACCGACCCGATCGTGATGGCACCTATCGTGAAACTAGGCCAGCCGACACAACTCTCGAATCAGCCATTTTCCGGTAAAAGTTATTTTTATACCATTTATAAACCAATAATANCGTACCCCACTAAAATTGTGAGAATCGGACCTGTGTAGTTCAAACCAAGACTAGACCATTTTTATATTATTTTTTATTTGGTAAAAATGAATTACCTGTACAAAACTGGGGAATCACTTTTCTTTTTTTTTTTCTTTTTTTGCTCAACTAATTTTCTAAAGCCGGTCAACAAATGCAAGCAAGCCTTCCAAATATGGTTCGGCCGATCCCAATTACTTTTATGCTAGTATATATATATAAGGAGGGGTAAAATCTAACCAAATATTATATAAGTCGTGCAGATTTTATACGAAAATTAAAACACCAACCAAACATAGTAATAAGTTATGCTGATTTTACATAGTTAGACATGGATTAACTCTTTTGGAAGGTCAACCAAATGACCCCTAAGGAACCATGTTTTACAAATATGCTGAAAATAGAGTATTATCAGTGCAAATAGAATTGTAATTGTGCACGTGGCTTATTTAATAGGCAGATTATTAGTTAGTTAGGTGGTTATTAGCTGTCATTAGTTGGGTAGTTAACTTGTATATATGTTCGCTTACTATAGCTGAAACAATGTAACAATATCATTTTCTCAAAATCCCATTCTCTCTTCTCTTCTCCATCTTTCTCTCTAAGCATTCCCATGGATGAACACTGTTATCATCCATAATTTAACATGATATCGGAGCTGCTGATGTTGTTTACTCGCGCAATTTGATTTCAATTTGTCCTCTCGCACATATTTCTTCTACTTCTTCATTTTCTATTTTTTTGTGGTGCAACAACGGTGACTGACTTGAGAACTAAGGAGCAAACACTTGTATACACACATCCACTTTACCTTGGACCTTCTAACACTTCTGGCATAGTTTTGATTTCTATTAAGCTTACCAGATCTGAAAACTATGGGCTTTGGAGTCGAACGATAAAGATCACTCTTTTGGGGAAAAGGAAGCTAGGGTTCATGAATGGTACTTGCACAAAAGAGACCTTCAACACATAATTGCATGAGCAATGGGAGACTTGTAATGCCATTGTACTCTCATGGCTGATGAATATTGTATCCACTGAGCTTTTGAGTGAAATTGCATATGCTACAGATGCTCACCTGGTTTGGGAGGATTTGAGAGAGACATTTGATAAAGTCAATCGCATGCGCATCTTCCAGCTACATAGAGCCATCAATACTCTGTATTAAGGTACTGACTTTGTATCCACTTATTTCACGAAATTAAAGAGTTTATGGAGTGAATGTAATGCTATGGTGCCAACTCCCAATTTATAAGACTATGTAGCAACAAAGGTTATTACAATTTCTTAGTGGCTTAAATGACTCGTATGATCCAATAAGCAGACAGATTTTGCTGACGTCTAGTGTTCCCTCACTTAATCAAGCATATGCTATGATTATTGAGGATGAAAATCACAATTCACCTAGTCTAAATGCAACAAGAATTAAATCAGATCTGATGGCTTTGTAGATTAGTCAAGGATAGGGTTACAAAGGCAAACAACCTTTTATGCAATGTGAATATTGCAAACTAAAAAGACAAAACTAAGGAGAATTGTTATAAGCTAATATGATATCCTACAGACTTCAAGAGTAAGAAGATGTTTGGACAGGGTGCTAGTAGTTCTGGGACTCAGCAAGGGGGTTAGTACAGGAGACCACAACAACAACAAGCTTTAGCAGCTATGAATAGTATATCTGGGAATAGTGATGGTCAATTGTCAACACATCAATACTCTGAGGGAAAGGAACTTATTGCAGGCAAATTTTTCATTGTTCAGTAGTATCAGCAGATTTTGGCATTGCTAAACAAGGACAGACCGTCATGCAAATTTGGCAAGTAATGCTACCTGTTTCATGTCATAGATTTAGAAAAATGACTGGATTGTAGATTCTAGTGCTACACACCATATAGCTGCATGTAGTTTGGATATAATATTAAATGGCATTAATGTAGATGCCTCATTAAGGGATAAGGTTAGCTTACCTACTGGAGATAGGGTGGACATAACCTATATTGGTCTGACATCTATTTTCAAAGGAGAGATGATATCCAATATTCTTACCTGATTTTTGTATATTTTAGGATCTATGCAATAGTTGGATGAAGGAGATTGATAAGGAGTTAGCTGGTCTATACATTTTCAGTTCCGAGGATGACAAGAATAAGTTTCAGAAGCATATTATGGTAGCAACTACAAACAAAGAAGATTACAGATTATGACATATGAGGCTAGGGCACCCCTCTATTACTGTTATGAAGAGTATGAGTTTACTAAGTCACAATGTAAATAGTTCACTTCTGAATAATTGTCCAGTCTCTCCTTTGACTAACCAGACAAGGCTGAAGTTTCCTATAAGCAAATCTAGAGCTATAACAACATTTCATCTTGTACATATGGATCTATGGGGACTCTATATAAATCCTACTTTTGATAAGAAATACTATTTCTTGACCATTTTGGATGATCACAGTAGATTTACTTGGGTTTTTCTATTGCAATTGAAAACTGAAGTCATAGTTGTTATAACTAAATACCTATTGTTGATCAGAAATCAATTTTGCTTAATGTTAAAACAATAAGATCAGATAATGGCACTGAATTCTTCAATTCACAGTGCACTAAGCTATTTGAGGACTTGGGAATTATACATCAAAGCATTTATGTGCATACTCCACAACAGAATGGCATTGCGGAAAGAAAGCATATGCATATACTGGATGTGGCTAGGGCCTTGAGATTTCAAGACAACTTACCCATCAGATACTGGGGAGTATGTGTACAAGCTGCAGTCTACCTATTGAACAGACTAGCTTCTACTGCTACACAAGGAAAGAGTCCTTTTGAACTCTTATATAGAAGACAAGCATCCCTATACATTTGAGAGTGATCAGTTGTTTGTGCTATGCAATAGTGATTCCCAAAGATGACAAATTTGCTAAAAGAGCCAAAGCCTGTGTGTTTATGGACTATTACAGCACACAAAAGGTTTATTTGTTGATGAATTTGTCTACCAAACATTTCTTTGTGATCAGAGATGTTGTCTTCAAGGAGTCAGTCTTTCCCTTTACACACTCACAGACTTCTAAATCTCCTTTAATTACTGACTTTCTTATGCAGGAACTTAAGGTATTTTCTAATACACAGATTCCTATTGTTGTTCCCACTCAACCAATTGCAGAAGCTACATTACCATTTGTAGATCAACATGCTAGTAACACAGTTGATGCTGATGCGGTTGAAGATCCCCTTCATGATTCTCATGCTGAAGCCAACAGTCATGGAGAATCTCATGATGTTCCAATGAACAACTTGCCAAACATAGGTGTTGGGAAAACTTCACATACATATTCAGGATATTTTGTAGAAGAAGAAGCAGGCACTTCCTCAGCTTTAGAAAACCCTTCCATACTCAGAAAATCAAAGAGGCAATGTGTTCAACCAATATGAATGAAAGACTATGTATCAACTAGGAATAATACCAGCATATATCCCATAGCCAACTATCTATCCTACAACAATACTACCACTCAATATCAGTCCTATTTGGCTAAGTCCTCTAATCTAGTGGAACCTCAAACTTTCAAGCAGGCAGCCAAAGATGAAAGATGGATAGAGGCCATGAAGCAAGAGATCAAAGCTCTAGAGGATATCCATACTTGGGAAGTAGTACTACTACCTCAAAGGAAACATGTAGTGGGATCTAAGTGGGTATATAAAATAAAGTATCATGCTAATGGTAAAGTTGAAAGGTTCAAGGCAAGGCTAGTAGCCAAAAGGTATAGCTAACAAAAAGGTTTGGATTATCATGATACATTTTCACTTGTTGTGAAGATGGTCACTGTAAGATCAGTGATAGCAAGGATGAAACTTATGTCAAATGGATATTTACAATGCCTTCTTACAAGATGACATTTGTGAAGAAGTCTACATGAAAATGCCCGAGGGATTCAGAAATCAGGGGGAGAAGAAAGTGTGCAAGTTGAGAAAGTCCCTATATGGACTCAAATAGGCCTCTAGGCAATGGAATATCAAGCTCACAGATGCTCTATTGAGTGCAGGTTTTGTTCAAAGCACTCATGATTACTCTCTATTCACCTTGAAGAAACAGGAAGACATAGTGATTATCCTTGTCTATGTTGATGACTTGCTGATCACTGGCAGTAATATACAGCTAACCACTGAAGCCAAACAAGTCTTGCGTCATCAGTTCAAGATGAAGGACTTAGGGGATCTAAAGTGCTTAGATGTAAATCTGGCATAATGCTAAATGAGAGGAAATATGTGCTGGAGTTAATCTCTGCGCTGGGGTTAAGTGGAGCCAAACTAGTCAATATACCTCTTCAGTCAAACCTATAACTCATCATAGTAGAGTTTGATACTGCCACATGAGCTACAGATGATACACTTTTAGAGGATGCAAGTCTCTACCAAAGGCTTGTTGGGAAGCTAATGTATGTGACTATCACTAGGCCTGACATCAGTTATGCAGTTCAAACCTTGAGTCAGTTTATGCAAAGACCTAAGAAGTCACACTGGGAGGATGATACCAGAGTTGTAAGATACCTGAAATGTTCACTAGGACAAGGAGTATGGCTTAAGGCAGAACCTAGTAATACTCTAACATGCTGGTGTGACTCAGATTGGGCTGCTTGCCCAAACACCAGAAGATGTGTAACAGGTTATGTTATCAAGTTTGGAAGCTTCTTGATCTCCTGGAAGTCCAAGAAACAATACACTGTGTCTAGGAGTTCGGCTGAAGCAGAGTATAGAAGCATGGCCTCAAGTGTTGCAGAAGTCACTTGGCTGCTTGGATTGTTTCAGGAGTTGGAAGTTCAAATCCTTCAACCTGTAGCTATGATAAGTGATAGCAAAACTGTTATGCAAATAACTTCTAATCCCATTTTTCACGAAAGGACAAAACATATCGAGATGGATTGCCACTTTATTCGAGACAAGATTAAAGGGGGAATGGTACAAACATTCTATGTGCCTACCAGGGATCAACTAGCTGATTTGTTGACTAAGGGCTTAGGACAACAACAACACTTGCATTTGTTAGGCAAGCTGGGTATGCTCAACATATTGCACCCTCCAGCTTGAGGGGGAGTATTATCAATGCAGATGGAATTGTAATTGTGCACGTGGCTTATTTAATAGGAAGATTATTAGTTAGTTAGTTAGGTGGTTATTAGTTGTCAATTAGTTGTCATTAGTTGGGTAGTTAACTTGTATATATGTACACCTACTATAGCTGAAGCAATGTAACATTATCATTTCTCAAAATCCATTTCTCTCTTCTCTTCTCCAAGTTTCTCTCTAAGTATTCCCATGGATGAACACCGTTCTCATCCACAATTTAACATAGTGCTCCCACAATTCCAATTTACTTAAGGGTTGTTTGGTAGGAGATATTAGAAAAAATAATGCAAACATTAGCTCTATGCAATACTAATACCTTGTTTGATATATTTTTTCAACTTGTGTATAACTAATACTTGCATTAGCTCTATGCATTACTAATACCTTGTTTGGTACATTTTTTCAACTTGTATTAGTTATACATCATACTTGGCATTATCCTATGCATAAGTAATGCATAGAAAACCATGACATTAGTAATACCAATGCTTTAATGCATGCATTAGCATAATTAAAGACAAAATTATCCTTAAAGTCCCTTAAAGCTAGAGAATATGGAGGGCATTTTTGTAAGCAACTATTTTTCTTAAAAATTATGCAATGCATTATAATTTTAATACACCACACCAAACAGTAGATAAAAAATAATATTTGCATAACTAATGCTTGCATTACTAACCCATGTGTTACTAATCCATGCATTACTAATACATAGGAGTGGCAAACGGGCGGGTCGGGTTGGATATGGTTCGGGTCGAAGACGGGTAATGAAAAAACGGATCAATTATCCAACCCGACTCATATTTAATACGGATAAAAAACGGGTTAACCGGCGGATAATATGGATAACCATATTATCCATGACTTCTTGCATATGATCACTTTTGGGAGAATTCTTAGTCTCCCTAACTTGAGAAATCCCCAATTTGAGGCTTTACAAATATAAAAGTTAGGCCCATTAGTTATCCAGTGGTTACCCATTGGTTATCCATTTTCTAAATGGATAATATGGTTCTTATCCATATTTGACCCGTTTTTAAATAGTTCATTATCCAACCCATTTTTAGTGGATAATATGGATGATTAACTGTTTTTTTAACCATTTTGCCACCCCTAATACACCTTATTCCGCACTATTCTTATACACCCTACCAAGCGACCCCTTAATTTGACTCTTATTCGAGGTTTAAAAAGGAACAAAAGCTTTTGTATTTTTTTTAAACATATATTCTCCATGAAGAATGGCTAGGATCAATGAAGTAGACAATTAATCAACCAAATATAGTGTAGCACATGGTAATGAGGTATTTGTCCTCTTAGTTTAGCAACTCCATCACGTAGTTACCTTAAAATAGGGCTTTAAAAACTCATCTAGTCTCTCACAAACAATCATTCTCTTATTTAAGATGGGAATTTTGGCCCAATATTAATATTAAATAAAATGTTCATTTCCAGTTGGCAACAAGTAATTTCTTTAGCCATCACCTCTGATCCGAAAACAAAAATTCCATGTAGTTTGCAAAAGAAAAGTACTACTANGTATTAAGTGGCGTTTGAAATATATACTAAAACTAATAGCCGCCTTTCACATTTCACAAGCTGTAATTTTCTTTATTTAGTAACACAAAATGCAGTGAGAGTTCCATTTGGAACTGCTGAAACATATCAATATTAAATAAAATGTTCATTTCCAGTTGGCAACAAGTAATTTCTTTAGCCATCACCTCTGATCCGAAAACAAAAATTCCATGTAGTTTGCAAAAGAAAAGTACTACTAAAAAATAAGAATTAGCGACAGACAAATTCTCTAGTTAAACAGTAAAATCCGTCGTTAATATTACTTAACGATAAATTATCAATAAACGAGCTTTCGTAGTTAATTCTGTTTTTTTACTAGCTTGATGAAATTGAAGAAGAAGAAAAAGTTCTTAATATTAGAAGAAAACATGCATTGTTTAATTTTCCTTCTTCAAATCAATTAGGAAGGCATGAAGGTCGAGAATATTAGGATAGAAGGCTAGGTAGTCGAGTGTTTTCCTTATTCGTGCTAGTAATAGCAGTGTTAGTCTTGTATTTTCCTATTCGTAAATTTCTATAACTATTTGCTATTTCTTTCGATTCGGTTTTTCATCTTTCCTTGAGCCGAGACTATTCCGAGGGTCTATTCGGAATAGCCTCTCTATCTTTATCCAAGGTAGGGGTAAGGTCTTTATACACATCGACCCCAAATTCCACTTCTGAAATTATACTGTGGGTTTGTTGTTGTTGTTGTCGTCGTCGCCGTAAATCGAAAGTCAACCACAGAACTTTACTAGTTAGGGATGTATATAGAAATAACGAGGAAACAAACAAAACTATCTAAGTGTTCATGAAAACTAATACTGGCAAGAGAGTGGAAATATTAAAAAATAACAATCACTTTGCTTTACTCCATTTTCTGTGTAGCAGGTAACAACTACTTGTTAAAAAGATACTATGGAAATATTCAAAGTGATGAAGAAATGGACTTTAATAAATAAGATGATAATTTGTAGATCCAGCTGTTAAGAGTTGTTATAAATTTTAGTCTTTGATTATCAATCAGACCAATTGATTTGGTCCTTTAAACAGCTCTTTAGAAGCAATTGCTTCCCTAGGAACGTTACTATAAATACATT